TACAAGCACTCTTTTCTCCAAGTAGTTTCACTGTTTTCTCCACCTCTGATGCTCTCATGTCTTTGATATCTACTTGTTTAGTTTCTTCAACTATTTTAATGGCTTTACCGCGCAAAGAGGTTTCGAAGTTCCCCCGGAAATTCCCTACGATGAAGCCCACAATACCATTGCATAACAAGAACATGTATTTCTTGTCCACAAGGTTGCTATACATGGAAAGCAAACGGAGTCTTTGTTGAAGAGAAGAGATTAATGAAGAGTAAGATACTATAAAAGACAAAATGGATGCCAAGGCTATGATCTTAGTGACTTTCTTCATCTCCTTCACTCTTCTTTCTTGTTTTTGTGATTCCATAATCTCTCAAATGAGAAAACAAAAATTAGTAAATGAGAAACAAAGAATGGTGAGTGAGACACAAGTTTGGGGAACTCGTTTCTTTATATATAGATTAATAACGCGTGGGTCGTGCGTGATTTCATTATTTTATTTATTTTGCATTTTGTTAAAACAAATATATCTTCTCTTTTGAACCATTCAAACCAGACTAATCTTCTTCCTTTTTCAGTTAGTAATTTCTCATTAATTCTAGAAGCAGAAAATGAATAATTAAAACTAAAAGCTAATTAAAAACATTGAATTTCATTTGACAGTCTTAGCATCAAATAGCTCCAACTTTTATAAGTGGAAACATTGAATTTCAATTGAAAATCTTTACATATTGTCCCGTATCTAATCTAATCATACCCTTAATTATTTGTAGAAATAGTCGTATAGTTTTATAGTTTCTTGATGCATATTTTAATTCTACTTAAACTACATAATATATACCCTTTGTGAATTGTAACTTGTGTGAGTTGGAACGTTCTATAATTTGGCATTACGAGTAATCATACAAAATAGTTATATTTTAAAGTCAAGTCAAGCTATCACCTTCGACGTAACTTGTCGAGTCCTTGAACCTTCCTATACGATGCCTCTTTTGTTCTGTTTTGGATAGGTCAAGTCTATACTATACGCCAAAACTAAAAGACCATTGACTTGATAGATAGATTAAAAGTCCTTTAATCTATGGATGCATCATGCATGTCGACGTTACCGCATGTTTACC